CTCATCTGCGTTTGTGTTGTCGTTGGGGGCACAGCTGCTGGACGGGACTAGTGCATCTACTGACGTGAGTGGGATCAGGTTCCGAGGGCCACATGATCCCTAAGGCCCCGAACTCCCCTTAGACTGGCATTTCTGAAGGGGAGTTTCTCGCAGCGTAAGTAGCATTTTTGCTTTTTTTTATGCTAAGGCACTCCATCATGTCAACGAGTTCCACTCTCCCTACCCGTAGCCCAGCCGGTTACTGAATTCCTCTCTGCTCAGGACAGCGCTGCTATAAACCAGCAGCTCCGGATTCACCGTAGGGCTTCGGTTCACCAAGGATTGATATGCCGGAACGCCTGCTTGGACCTGATGCTCTCCGGAAAGGTAGAGCCTTTGCTTAATGTAACCACCACCACCGTGCATCCCCACCCAATAAGGAGGAAGGCAAAAGTGATCGGAACTCTCCCGGGGCACTTTGTAGGCAAAGGTTTAAGTCTAGGGAAATAAGGAACGACTCCACGGCCTCTTTGTCCCGGCGCGATCATATCGCGTAGGGCGCCACAGCTGGAGGCGTTCCTCCTGAATTGGTTTTGGCTACAATGCACATTCCCCCAGACGGGACGCCGGAATAGACCAGGCTTCTGCTTGGTGAGGCAGCAGACCGTGCGTCGATCGCCCGCCCCCTGTTAGCGGACCATAGTCAACCTCAAATTCGCTGGAAGGAAACAGCTGAAATTGGAAAAGGTCTCGTTTAAGAAGACGGAACGGGTTTTTTAATCCTATTTTCTCTTTTCAGCAGTGCTTGAGGCCATCCATGTGGGGATGGAATCCGTGCGCGTACCTGCCCAAATGAACCAGGCGGTGCTACCAAGTATAACGGTTAGTCTCTGGCCCTAATCAAGGACAGAAGCGAGCTGCAGTGTGGGTAAATATTCAAAGTAAGCGCTTCACCGAAGCCGCTGACCTCCTTCCCCTGTCCTCAGGCCTCCTGGGCGTTGAGCGCAGGGCCTGGGTGTTGCAGGGAGGATGCAGGTGAAAATCGGGTTGAAGCGTACCTCGCTGCAGCTGGTGATGCAGGCGAGCGTCACACGTGCGCACAGGGGAGCTTCAACGAAGCTTTCTTTATTGCATTCTTTACCTCTGAATATGCTTACAGAATGTTTGCATTTGCTTACGCGCAACCTACCAAGGCCAAGTGAAGGCTCCTGCGCTAACTGTAGACAGAGCATGTTACAGGAACCAACCCTACGTGGGCGACACAAGTAAGGGAAGACATGCCAGAATAATTAACGACGAAGACCCTTTTTGCCCCAACAAATTAAAATAAATTCACAAAAACTGACAGAAATTCTTGAGTGTATTTGCCGTTTGGCTGCGTAGATATGATCCCCTAGCAGCTGGCGGTTACTTTAGAGCCGACGAGCTGTAGTGCGGGTGCACTACAATAGGGAACTTCTATTATTCAACTATTATAGCAGTTAGTATTTTCATTTATCTTCTTAGATGATAATTCGCACTTCCCTATTAGGAACACGCTTACGTAACTTGTAAGCTTGTCACTAGGATTATTCACACAGTAACTCACACAGTCGTATGCAACCTGGAGGCCTGCCTGGGCGACGGCGCAGCAGACTGAGTGCGCCGAGCCGAGACGATGCTGGAGCTGACCCGCGGGGTCCCGAAGGGACGCTACCGATCTCAGCTCCAACTCAGCACCAGATTATTATTCTCGTAGTTTCAAGGATTCCCCACGTGTGTGTGTGAATACGTTTTTGTGTACATTCCGCCGTCCTTTCGTTACACTCCCCATCTCTCTACCTTTTATCTTAATATTATATTCTATCATTCTCTCCGTCAGGCATACTTAGGTCTACACGGGCGATGACTGTTGTGTTTGTGCTCTAAGTCTCTACTCTCTCGTAAAAAAGATATCGATTTAAAACGTTTACCTCTGTTATTTCAAACAAATTTTGATTCAACTTTTCAGAAAGAAGTATTTACTACGCCTTTCAATTTTTACTGTACTAAACCCCAGCGCACTACACCAGTATTCCCGCGGGGGGAGAGGGGGGGTCGTAGAGAGAAGGACATCTTCAGTTAGCTTTGGATTACAGGTAGTATATTTTGGTTTATTTTCATTGCAGTGTACGTACACTGCATTGTTTGTTAAACTTTTTTCACTGACACACCGCAGCGGCAGCGGCGGGGCTGCAGCGAGCTCGAGGCATCGAGCGGGCTGCGAGTCGCCGCTTGTTTGCTCTGCATTCGTTCAGGTTCAAGCCCCACCAAGGTACTAGGAAAAAGGAAAACCTGTATATCTATTTCATCTTTTTAATGCATGTGTAACTGATTGAAGCTGGGGGGAGTACACCCGCCATCCGCAGGGTGTAGTAGGCGAGAGGTGACCTCATCGAGTGTATAGGCAGCGTTGACTCTGGCCGGTGTTTCCGTGTCCTGTGTATACTTGATTGGTGTGTGAGCTCCCAGCATGATGGGAGGCGATCCCGGCCACGATCCCGGCCCCAGCCGGTGTACACAATTGCTGCCGTATGAGCTAACGAGCTTACCCATGCGCTCTGCTGGGGAGCTGCAAAGGATCCAGCGGCTGTCACCGCTACAGAGAGGAGATCTCGATCTCCTCCCGATGGAGATGACCACGTCTGGTGTACGCTGCGCCTCTGTCGTATTCAAAAGGTCGAGCCAGGCCTACGGAGCAGAACAGCCTCAAGCGCTCACCACCCCTGTACACGGGCTCAGCAACAGGTCAT